GGATTACTTTTTTGGGGAAGTAATCAGTAATTAGTTACTGATCACTTTTTTCAAGTAACTTGACCAACACTGGACATGACAAATAAGGCAACAGGACACATTTTTGTCCTTTTTTTGGACAAAAATGCATTCCAGAGTTTATGTGAAGCTAATATTAGTCAAAATTTCCCTGTTCTTAGCTGTCAGCGAAGAACAAGAAACTGAGGGTAGACAGCAGGGTCAGAAGCTGGCAAACACCACGAAAGCATAGATCCATTCTGCGTTGTGCTAACGATTCGGTGGTGGCGGCGTACGCATCTTTTGATGGCTGCTTCCAGCAGAATAACGTGCCACATGTCACAAAACATCTCAAACTGGTTTCTTGAACGTGACAGTGAGTTCACTGCACTCAAATGTAGGGATATCCGGTGCCATACCAGACCGAAAAGCAGCGCACATTTCGGTGCTTTTTATTCCTGAGATGTGATACACTTTAGATTCTAGCCAATCATTTTACCTTTCCGAGGATAGTAGGCGGGCCCAGGTACGTACGTTCTTTTAGAGCAGAGCTACAGATTAAAAATGCCCAAAGCGAAGCAGTACTGCCCATCTCTGGTCATGTCTGTAACTAGTATGATAGAAGTCGTACATTACTGGCCATCATGATGCTGAAGAAAATGCAATTTATTGTTCTTAATGTATTTTACTCAGTGCATGCTTACTTACTTACTTACTTACTTACTTACTCAGAGCAGCAAAACAGAAATGTAAATGTTCCCTGACTTCACCATGTTTACTCTGGATACATCTCCGTGCACGTACACACACTGAATGTCTTTAAAATGATAAATACTCCACAGGGGCCCCAAGTCCCCAGTCACTAACCACCACACTCTATAAAACTGTAAGCTACAGCTGCCGAATATAGGTCAGTAATAATACGAAAGTGTGACTCAGAATCTCCTGCTCCCACAAGATTTGATCAAACTGCACACACACAGAGAAAGACAAATGCAAACTGTGTGTGATTTTTATTTATTCTTTTTCATTTTTCTGCCGCCCACATGCATTGATTTATCCAAAAAGTCAGCAGAGCAGAAATTAAATGAGTGGTTAATTTTGTTTTCTGTTTCTGCGTTACTATTTCATCTACTGTAGCTTTCCTCCTCTGTGGCCCAAACTAAGAATAAGCTGTATCTGTGCGTACGTGTGCACAAGCAAGCAAGTAAGAGCACATTTCCATTCATCCTCGTCTTCAGTTGGCACGAAACATCTTTGCACCAGCTGTCAGTGCACAGAAGGAGCATTTTGTACTTTCTTGAAGCAAACACTTCATCCCCACCCCCACTCCCTAAAAATAAAAACGGTACAAGCAGCAGCATAAAAATCCTGAGCTCCCTAAATTTGATAGGGACGCCTAAACCACAGCAATAGTTTTCCTGACAAATGCATGAGAGAAAGAAACAAAAGGTCATGACTACTTATGTTTCTTCTTCAAATGAAGTCATCAGTTTGTTCATCAGTCTGAAAAAAGGCAACTTTCCCTTACCCCCCACCCTTCATATTCAACCTACTCTGTTTTTAAGTGTTTTGACTGTTACACACATTTTGCCCAAATGCACTTCGACATGCAGACCGATCCTTATTCTGGCACCTCTTCTTTTTTCCTCAGGCACACTTTCTGGCAGTACCGGAAGGAGAACCCTCAGACCAGAGTCGGGGAACCTCCTCCTGACGGCCTCCCGGGCTTCAACAGCGGTGTGATGTTGTTGGACCTAGGCGCTATGAGGTCCTCGGCTCTTTACAATAAGCTGCTGGAGCCCAGCAATGTGGCCAAGCTAGCAGACCAGTATCGCTTTAGAGGCCACCTGGGTGATCAAGACTTCTTTACCATGATCGGAATGGAGCATCCTGAACTGTTTTACTCCTTGGCGTGTGGCTGGAACCGGCAGCTGTGCACCTGGTGGAGGGATCACGGATACGGAGACATATTTCAGTTGTATTATCGCTGCGATGGACC